TTTGGCTTCAGCTTCGGCTTTGGCCTCTGCTTCGGCTTCGACTTCGATTTCGTGTAGTGGAATTATGACTCTGGGTTCGGTTCCGTGCGGACTTATGTTGCTGTGGCTTTTTCCTGTTGAGTTTTGCACTATAATCACGGTTTTACTTCGAAAAAGTAGCCTTGCCTGTACCGTTACCCCAACTATACCGCATAGTTTTCAAGGCAGAAACGCACACATGGCTGAAAGCCAAAACAGCCGCTAATTCTCGGTACCAGTAGCACCTTTACCCGGCCGGACCTAAAGGAAAGCAACTGTCCGAAAGATTGCAATAACACAAAAGATAACGACGATAGACAGACGAACTAACACAAACGCGACGACGTTAGTCCAAAAGATATTACATCTCTAATGCTAACACTTTGCGTACCCCACACAGCCTTCATGCTGTTTCCTGACACCACACAGCTTTAGCAGACACCTAAAGGGTTTCGGTCGCGCAAAACAACATTGCGCACTAGATCGTGGATGCGGATTTCGACGCGTGATTTTGAACTGATGGTGGCTTGACCTTAGCGTCGCATTTCTGAAACAAAGAGTCCCTGGCGTCGACTTCGGCCTCACGTCCACAAAGTTTAAAGCTGTTGGCTTCGGATTCGGCTCCGCGTGTCAAAAAAAGAAGAAGCCACTGGTTTGGGCTTTGGCTTTGCAGTTTCAAACGTCGAGTTCACCGGCCCCGGCTTAGGCTTCGGCTTCGTGCCATTGTCTAAGTTCGAATTCGGCTTCGAAGCCGGAGGCCTAGCTTCGTCCCCATGCGTGGTGGGTAGCGATGGTCCAACATAGAACCGGATGATGTTGTAAACAAAATTTCTTTTTCGATCGATTTTTTGAAAAATATCACGATGGCAAATTAATGGTCAGTATGGCGGAAACATGTTTCCAGTTCATTATCGTGCTGCCAACCATCCTACAATTTTCAGCTCTCAATTAAAACAGTTCGAATTCCGCTGGAAGATTTGATTCAGTTTCCAGTTAACCTTTGCGCGCTGGCCTCGTCTAACACCCGTCAAGTTGGCCATGCGGCAGCGCTGGGAGACCAAGCGGCCGCCCTGCCCCCTCGTGCTCGCTGCCGCTGCGGAAGCATTGGTAACAGGGAGCGTTGTTGGCGCTCGATGCTGGGAGACGGCGGGATGGGGCCGACGCAGTAGCCGTACGGGGTAAAGCGGACGTGCCGACTTCCTGTTTTCCAAACTGGCGCGACGTAATTTCCGATTTTCATGTGCCGATCAGCTGCGCCAGAAGTGTTTGATGTTGATGCACAGTGGCCAGGCAGGCGTGAGTGGAATGGGACAATGCTCTGAAGAAGATTGCTGATTTTTAGTTCCGGACTCGGCCCGCCATGATCGCAGACATGATTTTAGGAAAAAGACAACCATCCACATGTCATTAGTTAACCTGCACCACTGATAAAAGAGTAAGCGACTTAAAAGGCGTTCGATAGAAAATATCTAGCTATGCATAGCTAGGTAGCCAGGCTAGGACTAAATTTTAAGTCCCAGCCAGGCTAGGACTTAAAAGCGTAAAAAGTTTAGTGTCGGACCTTTACACCAATTTAAAGTATGATTATTGACTTGTATGCCATCATAGTCTTTTTAGCTATGTGGGTTTCCCAAACTGCGGCCAGAATGTATGATGTGTAGGGAATGTCAAGTAGTCAGTGTTTCAATATTTTGCCGCTTGGGTGGCAGAAATGGCGATATTTTATTTCAGTATTAACACTCGCTCGGGTGGGGGGCCGAATTGACCCCCCACCCACCCCAAAGGTATTTCTGGAATGGTTTCCGAACGGCGCGGCGTATCCCGCCAAATTTTGCATAGCTGTAGACAATTGAATATCGGATCGTCTGACATCAAAAATGTAGATGCACTGTGTTGGTCACTGACCTATGACAGGTCAAAGTCAGGCCATGGTTTCGGCGAAGGCAGTTTCTAGGGAATCCTTCAATCCGATCCAACAACGGAGTGTTAGACGAAGCCTTACATCTCTGGGATGCTTTCTTTGCCAACACAACAGTTCAATGAACAAATCCCATTCACCTCGAGTCTGGTATGGAGGTTAGACCACGGTCAAAACCAACCTGTTTTATTACTCCAGGGCTGATTACATTGGGTACTTTCTGGTGCTCATCTCATATTTATTGAAAACAGGAACCGCGTTATACACCTTGCATAGACTTTCTAAAGGGTCACAACAAGTCACTGACCTAAAATGACCCAGGTCAACATTTTGTTTGTAGGAACATACTGCCTAGCGTAATCTTTGCCTCTTATTCAAATGCAAAACTCAAAGCAGTTTTGCATGATTTTGGTCACCATGACCTTCAAAATGTCAAACAAGGTCACTGACCTTAGATGGGCACATGCCCTTGTGCTTAGAACAGTTATGTAGGTTCTAGGGACCCTTTGGAGACCAGCCGGGAATTTGATCTTGTTTGATCTTATTTGACCCGAAGGTCATGACTTAGGAACCTCAAACTGTGACCTAAGCGAGTTCACCTACACGCCAATACACCATGTAAATTTGGTGTCTCCAGCCCTAAAAGTTTCTGATATCTCAGGCGGGTGGTCATGTTGACCCCCCACCTGAGCGAAGGGTATCCAGCCGGCCACCCGGGCTCGTGTTAAACCAAGAGCTTGGATTTCACCAACTGTTGTCCCTCCATTGTTTAAAATCGGCCAATCAACATTGAACCGGGCGACGGTCAACCCAGCATCAAACTGCCTCAGGCTTGACAAGTGGGCAGATCAGGTTATGTGTCTGGGTTCGGGGTCAGAGGGCATCGGATTAGCGGCACGGAATGTCGTGCGGAGACCGCCAGAGGGCCAGGGTTCTGGAAGCATGAATTTATCATTTACATCCCGATTAGTTTTGGAACGTTGCAGAGTGTTGAACCCATGTCAGTCCAATGAATGTGTTCTACACAAGTCTTGAGATGTTTATTGAACCGCATTTGTGTGTTAACAACAAATCAGTGTGCTCGCTTATCTATCTGGCGCAGGCGATCGATTGTTGTGACGTTGGCTATGATATGTTGATGATGTATGTTGATTTGTTAGCTGTTGCAATCACAAGCTAACGTCCTATTGTCACGGAGACGGAGATTCGAGACGGAGATTCCTACGGAGACGGGCCACATGTGTTCCGCAACTCCTGCCGCCGTTGACTCTCACGCCGTGGTCGAGGTGTGGCAAGAGAGCGGAGACTTCCGGTGGGAAAGACAGCACCGATCCCGGCCGATAGCGGATGTCGGTCTGAACCCGAGCTGTCGGCACCGTTGGGCGGCGGGCGAGCGCGGCCGGCACGGCCGGCGCGGCGGTCCGGCTCGGTCGGCCGCCGCTGCTCAGGTAACCGGGCGTGGCCGGGTGGCCAGCCCCGCTCGGCGTACGGCCGGCTGTCGCCGTCACGGCCCCACTGCGGCTCCCACGGGCCCGCTGCCGGCACCGGCGCGCGCGCACGGCCACACAGCACCCGCCGCCTCGCATGGCGCCCAGCGAGCGCGTCTGCCTCACGCCGCAGTTGTGCTGCCTGGGCGGATGGCCGCCGGCCGGGCCAGCGCCGTTTCTGGCACGTTTTTGCGACGCAGCGAGCTGCCGGGACTGCGAGTGTTAAAGCCGGGCTTATCGTCACAGCAGCTGCGAATATCCTGTCGTGGTCAGCACAGTCGTGTTTTGCACGCATTTTCTCAGCACTCGGCGACGCCGCTGCCAGCGCCGCAGGTGGGGTACGGTCGTTGGGGCCGCGGGTTCGGGTAACCGGGCCGTTTTTCAGACAGCGTATCCGGCAGCCGATGCCCCGCGGCGTCGTCAGACCGCCACCCCCGTCCGAACCCCGGCGCGGAACGGCCGAGCGCAACGCGGCCGGCGCGGGCATCCCTGGCCCTCCGTCTACTGCGCCGTCACAGCCGCGTGTTTATAGCACGGGTGGCGTCTGATGGGGGATCGGCCGGTTCGGGGAAGCGGCGGCGGCGGCGGCGGCGTCAGGGGCGTGGCGCGTCGGAGCCGGCGGCGCCGCTCGGCGCCGACGCCGGACCGCGAGGCGCCCGCAACCGGAGTGCCGCGCGCCGGCCGCCCCTCCGCCGGCTCGGTTGCCGGGGCGTGCTGTCCGGCGGACTCGGCGACTCGGCATGTGCGGCCGGTCGGCCGGCCGGCCGGCCGTGGGCCTGCTATTGCCGTGACTCACGCCGATCCGCCGTCAGCCTACTCAGAAGAGCGGCCCGAGCCGCGGAGACGGAGCCGCCGGGCGCCGGCCGGACCCGCTCCGACCGGGCCGCGGAGACGGGGCCGCCGAGCGCCGGCCGGACCCGCTCGGACCGGGCCGCGGAGACGGGGCCGCCGGGCACCGGCCGGGCCCGCTCGGACCGGGCCGCGGCCAAGCCGCCAGCCGGCGCCGGCGGTCCGGGGCGCAGGCGCCGCCGCGCGGCTGGCGGGGCGGGGCGGGACGGACGGACCGCATGGCCCCACCCGGTGCCCGCCGGCCCCGCGTCCCTCTCGCCGCCGGCTGGGCCGCCGCCGGCCGTCTCGTGCCCCGTATGCGCCGCCCCCCATCGGTCGGCCCGCGGCTCGTCCGGCACATGTGCCGGGCCGCCGGCGGTCACCGTCGCCCATTCAAGGCGTGTGCGGTTGCGATCAACGTTCGTGGCTGGTGCTCACGGGCACGTGCGCCACGCGCTCGCCCCTGTTTCAGGCGGCACTCCTGACCAGTGTATGCGCGTCCAGGTGCGGGGTGTATCGTTGGGTAGCCGTAGCCAGCGTGTGCGCACGTGTGCCCCCCCCCCCGCCCCCCAGCCGACGACCGCATCGGGACGTTGACACATGTGTCGCCCTGTTGCAGCCGGTACTCGTGGCAGGGCTCGGAGGTGCTGGGTCAGTGCGTGCGCTCGCCGCGCGAGTCGCGCCGCTCGCTGGGCCTGCCGGCCGGCTGCCGGGTGCCCAAGCAGCCCCGCTACCGACGCGCGCTCGCCATGACGGACGCGCTGGTCCGGGTAAGCCCCGCTGACCGGTTTCGGGCCGGTGACGCGGCCCCTGAGTCACCTGGCGCACTCATGGCATCGAACACATAGCCGGCCAACGTCATCACCACCTGCTGCCGACTTTGTAGCCTGTCCACAGCGCCGCCCACTCGGACGAGAGTCGGAGTCACACAGCCGGCGGACGTCATCACCACCTGCTGCCAACTTTGCAGCCTGTCCACAGCGCCGCCCACTCGGACGAAAGTCGGAGTCGTGCTTGGCTAAGGGGAATACTTATTAGCGGATGTAGCGAATGACTGGCGTTCCTGGAAGGTGTGGCGGGGGCAAGTTTGTCGTGCGGCATTATTTTGAAATGCGATTTAACCAGGCTTCACGTGAACGACTCAAGGTCTTATTCACCCAGATGCTTGTTTATAGATGGCATTCCAGCGGTGCTAATACATCGCGGGCGTTTCAGATATTGGCTAGCTTTGAGTCCTGGACACAGGCTAAGCATGGATTTTTCCACAAAGCCTAAACCCACCATTGAAGTCGTGTCGTGCACTTCAGCGTATAACTCCATCGCCATTTCGCCGAACGGCACTGCGGAAGGCCTTGAGCGCTGTGCAGTGCTGCGGCACGGCCGTCTAGCGCCGGCATTGACCTTGTAGGTCTGCAGCGCTTTTGGTATAGCTTCCATGGGACAGAGTCGATAAGGCTTCAAGAATTCGGTCGCCAGCCTGCGAGCGGGCCGGACGACCTGACCACCGTAACTTGGTCGGTGTCTGAGGGCTCCAGCAGGCTGGGGCCGGGCGGCGGGGCCACCGTAATGGGGTCGGCGTCCGGGGATCCAGCAAGCTAGAGCCGGGACACGTTGACAGTCATTCACTCTGCTCTGTTCACGCGCTGCCTTTGCCTTCCCGAGTACCTTGGCAGCATGCGCAAAACAACGCAAACATGAATGACAGCGGTGAGTCAAAAGGGTGCGCAGACGTGTCCTTTGCAACGGTGGGTGTTTGGAGCGTTCGCCGCGCCTTTATCGTAGCGGGGCAGCCGTTCGGAGAAGTGGTGATACGCTGTGCTCGCTTCGCTCTGCGGACATAAACAGCGATTTCGCCATGTGCGGCCGCTCAGAGTGTGAAACACGTCACGGGCCACGGATGGCTTCACGCCAGGGGAAAACGGCCTCCGTTCTTGTCTTGCAGCGCGCTTTGGTGCGTTGTTTCAATGCTAAACCTTATGTGCATAGTTGTCTGAGACCGCTTGAACCACGTGACGGACCAAGCTCCGGTTCTCTCGGAGGTTACGGACCCAGCTCCGGTGCCCTCGGAGGTTACGGACCGAGCTCCGGTGCTCTCGGAGGGTGCGGACCGAGCTCCGGTTCTCTCGGAGGTTACGGACCAAGCTCCAGTTTTCCCGGAGGTTACGGACCGAGCTCTGGTGGTCTCGGAGGTTACGGACCGAGCCCCGGTGCTGGCGGAGGTTACGGACCGAGCTCTGGTGGTCTCGGAGGTTACGGACCGAGCCCCGGTGCTGTCGGAGGTTACGGACCGAACTCCGGTGCTGTCGGAGGTTACGGACCGAGCTCCGGTTCTCTCGGAGCTTGCGGACCGAGCTCTGGTGGTCTCGGAGGTTACGGACCGAACTCCGGTGCTGTCGGAGGTTACGGACCAAGCTCCAGTTTTCTCGGAAGTTGCGGACCGAGCTCTGGTGGTCTCGGAGGTTACGGACCGAGCTCCGGTTCTCTCGGAGCTTACGGACCGAGCTCCGGTTCTCTCGGAGGATACTGATCCGTGCAACGTGTTAAGCCCGGTCCAGCTTGGCCTGTGTACGCTATGATGCGTGGTATCGGTTCCCAGGTGCCAGTATATGCGTTCCTGCAGCCAGAGCGCACGATCTTTTTAAGCCAAAGAAAAAAAAAACAATGTAGAGCGACCCACATATTGAGGTTCGACTTTTATTAAGTTTTTTATTTCTTCCTTGGCTGGCTGTGGGCTAGCCTTGGCATACATTGGAAGGTTTCCGAATGTTGTGAATCTCATTTGAACAGAGGTGGACGTTCAACAAATCCCCTCGAGTTTCGAATGCTGCAGCTCCGAATGCTCACCCCCAGCCAACAGCATGATGTAACCCGGATGTGGAGGGTTTGACTGTTGCATTACCGCCCTTGTGGAGCCCCTGTTACGTGGGCCCGCTGTGGACTCTGTACCGGGGCGTCTTCTCTGTGTGCCTGGCTGAGCTGATTTCTGAGCTGTGCACGTGCAGCTCCACCGGCCGCCGCCCGGCCCTGTCATGCCGTCGCCGCGTCGCGTCCTGCCCCGCCGTTCCCGACGCGGCCCGCCTGGCCGGCAGGGCGTGCGCGAGTCGATCGCGCTGGAGCGGCAGGAGGCGCTGGCGCTGCGCGACGCGCTCGAGTCGGCCTCGCTGCACTCGGCGCAGTCGCAGGGCCGGCTGTACGAGACCGAGCGGCGGCTGCGCTTCACCGAACGCTACGTCAAGCGGCTCGAGTGCCACCTGGCCGAGATCGAGGAGATGGCGGAGCAGTACGGCAAGCAGCAGCGGTTGCGTGACGCCACCGAGCGGCTGGCGGCCGCCTTCAGCAGCAGCGGCGGCGCGCAGGTGGGAGCCGCGGCAGCCGACAGCGGCAGAGGAACTGGGGCGGGAGCCTGAGCAGGGGCAGAGGGACTGGGGCGGGAGCCGCGGCATTGGCAGAGGGACTGGGGCGGGAGCTGCGGCAGCCGACAGTGGCCGCTGTGTGTCGCTGTCGCTGGTGCCCCCTAACTGCTGGCCTCCTCTGACTGCTGCCGTCAGTTGTGTCGACGGGCAAAGTAAACAGTGTCTAGAGTGATGCAGTTATTTGTGAAATGGGGATAAAATCACTTAAAAAGGTGCTGCAATTGTGCGGGAACAACTTGGTAGCAGATGCTCCTACCCCCCCCCCCCCCCCCCTATGTCATGAGTGGTTCTGGTGGAACTCTCTCGCTTTGTTTCCTTAGCAGAAAGATCCATGAATGGCAAACCAGAATGCATGCACCGCATACCGCACGCACGAACCGTCACTGCATTGGACACCGTCCTGAGGCGTACACCGCACCATTCTTAGCGGCCGGCGAGCGTGCGCGCCGCGGCCGCGTCTGGCCGCTGTCGGTGATCTGTCTGTGGTCTGTCGGTGGTTTCGTTGGTCTCGGTGGTCTCGTTGATCTGTCGGCGGTCTGTCTGTGGTCTGTCGGTGCTGTGTCGTTGGTCTCTCCCGCCCGTTTGACCGGCTCTGCCCCGTGGCCAGAGCCAGCGGGGCCTCTCGCAGGCCCGCTCCGGCTTCAAAGAGTGCACTGAGGAGATGTGCCTGATGGAGGCCCAGCTGGAGAACAAGATGGGCACGCTGCTGTTCGAGCTCAAAGGTGAGCTGGGCGCGGCGGAAAGAAACGCTGCGGAATTGGAGGACGAGCACGGCTGGTGTCGTCCACAGACCTGCCGATGGGGTATCTCCCGACGGGATGGCCAAAGGCTTGCACATTGGGTGTTCGTTGCTGTGTATGTTTACGCGGTCCGTTCACGACTGGCGCCAGAGGCCGTGACGGCAGTGAGGGAAATCCAAAGCTGTGTGACATGTAATATTAATTGGTGCCAGATCTAGCGAGACATGCATGCTGGACAGTGTCCGCTGATTGCTATACGAAAAAGAACACACACACACACACAAGAACCTTTGTTTCAGACGATGCAATTCGGAAATAATAAAATAGGAGTTTTATATTGATGCAATACTTGCTCGCCGAGCAACGGCAGCAGCGCCAGTTTTGTTGTGAGCATTTCAGTGCGTGATCGGCGCCTATATTTACCAGCGCTGGTTGAGTAGATGTGTGCCGTGTCGCTACGTCATCTATGCGAGGGCTTATCGGTCCACGCAGAACACTGTGCCTCGACCGCTTCGAGGCACCGCGTGCTGAGCCATGGGCTGCCGGCCTGACTCGGCGGCCGTGCCGCCGCCGCCCCGCAGGCATCCAGGGCTTCGCGCGGCTGTGCGCCGGCGACGTGTACGAGATCTGCGTGCGCCTGGGCGGCCAGGAGTGGCGGTCGCGCGCCACCGTCGGTCGCGAGCAGGAGCAGCGCTGGAGCCGGCCGCGGCGCGTGCTGCGGCCCACGCTCTCCGACCAGCTGGTCATCAAGGTGGGGGATGGCGCCCGCGCGCCGCCCGGCACTGGGACGCTCGCGAGGCGGCGTCGGGTCGGGTCGGCGGCTCTCACGAGACCTCGGCTGGCGGAGCGCCCGGTGGTGGACGGCGACAGGGCGGGAGGCGGACCGCTGGCACGTCCGCGTCCACGGACCTACGGCGGCGGCGCGCTGTGCTCTGAGACAGCGCGTGCTGCGGCTTGCCGTCTGCGGTGGCGGTGCTCTGTTCCGCCGCGTGTTTTACGGGTCATGTCTTCGCTGTTGATCGCCTGTCGGGGTGATAAATAGGTGATGCGCCGCGTCCCCTGTCTGCGCAGGCCTCCGAGGTGAAGACGTTAGGGAAGCACGTGCTGGGCACGAAGGTGTGCGAGATAGGGGAGCTGCTGAGCGCGCACACGCAGCAGATGGTGATCTACCTCAACTCGACCGGGTCGCTGAAGCTGACGCTGATCGTGACCTGGAGGTGAGAGCCTGCCGGAGCCGGAGCCGGAGCCGGCTCCTCGCGCCGGGCGCTGGAGGCGGAGCGGGAGCGCGGCGGGCCGGCTCCCGCGCCAGACGCGTCGCCGACCAGAGCCGGGTACGGGTGGCGTGTGCCATTCGCGGGGACGCCCCGTCCTCTGGTCTGCATGCGCCTAAGCATAAACACTGAGTGGGCTGGAAAGCACTGTGTGTGCTTGCGCGTGTGCCGGGTGTAATTCCATCGGGCCGGCGTAGCTCCGGCGTCCGTGTGATGTGCCGCCAGCGCGCCGGCGTGACCCCTGACCCGCCGCGACATCGGCGCCGCGCGCGCCTGGTGGCCCGCTGCCGGCGGCCGGCGGCCGCTGACCCGTGCGGCCGTTCCAGCGCGATCGAGGCGTTCCCGGAGGAGACGCTGAGTCGACAGGCGTCGGCGTCGAGCCCGAGCCTGCGCCGCCGGCCCACCATCAACTCGCCCCGGCTGGGCGGCGACGCTCGCCCCGCCGCCGCCGCCGCCGCCGCCGCCGCCACCGCGGCTGATACGGTGTGTCTCAGGCATACCCCCGCTCCCGGCTCGGGACGTGTGGGAGTGCGACCAGGAGTCCAGTCGGCTTGCTCATGCGCTGAGGCGTGGAATGCGGGGAGGCGCCAGGAGAAGGTCACGCGCTGGTATCATGAGCGTGTTCAGGGGCAAAACGCCGTCTTTCTTCGGGCGAATTTCGTTATCATTTCGGTGTTGCTTGTGTATTAAGGATATTTGTGACAATGTGTGTGTGGGCGGCTGTGAATGCTGGCTTGTTTTGAATGCTCCAGCGCCGGTCTTGTCTGTCACCGTGCACTTTGGAAGCCACGGCACCCGGTGGAACTGGACGCTAATGCCGTCCGCTGCCTCGTTATCCAGTACGTGGACGGAAGCGACTCCCTGCTGCTGCCGGCCGACGTGGCCTCCCCCGATCTGTCTGTGGACTCGTCCGACTCGCAGACGCTGCCCAACTCGACGCCAGACATCCTGCGCCGCTCCGCGGGCCCCGCGGTGAGTGGGGGGGGGGGGGGGGGGGAGGGGGGTGAAAGTTCAGCCGGATCAGCGGTTCCAGGATCCCCTGCTGGCGCCAGGAGGAGCTGGCCTGGTATTGAAAGATAACACGCCCGCTCGCAGACTCGTCTGTGACGTCTGTGACAGACAAATATTGAGAAAGTAGTCTTAACAGAGGTCACAATGTACAGCATCTCAGCAAACAACAGGACATAACATGGGACGACATCAAACGGCTTCCAGCGTTGGATCTCGTGTGCATATAACAACTTTCGAGACTTGCACAAGCATAGTCCCACGCGTCACAGGCGATCTCAAGTGTCATGAAGTGGTGGTCCGCCTCCCGCCGCTTCCCGCCACCCCCTCTGCCCCGCCGCTGTCCGCCGTGCCCCGCCACTGCCGCCCCCCTCCGCTTCCGCCGCTTTCCTCCGCGCCTCTCCGTCTCCCTCCGCCTCCCTCCGCCCCCGCCGCTTCCCTCCGCGCCCCTCCGTCTCCCTCCGCCCCCCCCCGTCCCCGCCGCCACCGCCGCCGGACCCTGACGGGCGCCCGGCGACCCGGCAGGCGGACCGTTCGCCGGAGCGCGACAGCTGCAGCAGCGCCGACAGCGTGGAGGCGGCCGAGCCGGACGGCGACGACGGCAGCGCCGCCTACACGCTCCAGAAGCGACCCGAGATGCGCCGCGACTGGTTCGCCACCGTCGAGCGCAAGAACCGCGCGCGCCGCGAGCAGCAGGCCGCCGAGCAGCAGGTGGGTGGGGGTCGGGTCCGGGCGGGACGCTGGCCGGCCCGGGAGGTGGGGACGGCTTGAAGCAGGCCGCTGGTCGACGGGGTCTGGTGGCGCGCCGGTGTGGTTCGCCGGGGCGCTGGACGGGCTGTCGGCGCCGCGTGAGCGGCCGAGACGCTGCTGCTGCCGGGCTGCGATCGAGCGTGGATTGAGACGCTTTCGGCCGCCCGGTGTCTGCTGCCTGCCACGCTGCCCGAGTTGGGGCTCGCCACGCGTGGGGATCCTCTGCCGCCTACTCCCGGTCACCGGTCAGTAAGTTAAGTATCGTTGTTTTGTTAATAAGGAATATAAAAACGTTATGAACCTGCCGCGATGGGTGCCGGATTGCGTTGAACTTGCATCGAGGTGATCTTTTCTGGTGATGTGGGAAATGTGCTCACCACGCGGACATGCCAGAAAACGAACCCGAATAGCCGCTAGCGTGACTGGGGAGTGCCCACTGATCTAGTCCAGGTCCGCTCCAGGCCCGCCCGCTGACTCGGTCCAGGTCCGCTCCAGGCCCGCCCGCTGACCCGGTCCAGGTCCGCTCCAGGCCCGTCCACTGACCCGGTTCAGGTCCGCTCCAGGCCCGCCCGCTGGCCCGGTCCAGGTCCGCTCCAGGCCCGCCCGCTGGCCCGGTCCAGGTCCGCTCCAGGTCCGCCCACTGACCCGGTCCAGGTCCGCTCCAGGTCCGCCCACTGACCCGGTCCAGGTCCGCTCCAGGCCCGCCCGCTGACCGTCCGGTCCCTCCGTCAGGGCCAGGAGTCGGCGCCGCCGCCGCCGCGGCCCGAGGCGTCCGCGAGCGCCCTCTGGCAGGCCGGCGGCCGTCTGCGTGGCGCGGCGCTGGCGGTGGCGGCGCGGCTGGCCGACGCGGCGCCGGACGCGCCGCTGGCCCGGCTGCGCGCGGCGGCGGCTCGGCTGGCGGCGCGGCCCGCCGGCCCCACCCGACCCCGCCGCTGGTCCCACGACTCGGACGTCAGCGTCGAGTCGGCGCTCGACAAGTTCAGCTTCCTGCAGGGCGAGCACGAGGAGGCCGAGTGCAAGGTGTGACAGACGCCCCGCCCCCCCCCCCCCCCTGGCCTGGCGTGGCCGGTGGCCGGTGTGGTTTGTTTGAGGCGAGCATTCAAGGGCAGCGCATTGTGCGGTTTTGACAACAATCAGGAGCGTCAGAGGCTCCCGTTTCTGTGAAATAGCCGTTGTCGGTGTTTCCCCCAGGCTTTGGGCTTGCGTGCAGTATTTGTCTCGGACTTTGTCTGCACAACTTCAGCTATCACGTTCTCGACCCACCCACAGCGTGTTTAGTTTTTTTATTACCTAGCCATGTATGGCCGCTGGAACGAGAACCCGTGTTTGCATGTCTGCAGTACGGCATTTTCTGAGAGCCACGTGCTACTGACGGCTGGACGTTGGAGACATTGTGTCATAGTTGTGCCGTGCGCATGAAACGCCCGACGCCGGCGTGGTCTGTAGAGGTGTGCTCGCGCTGTGTTAGACAGCCCGTTCGCGAGCGTTCTGCCTGTTGACGGCCACATCCGAGGTTGGGGTGCGTTTGCGACGCCGATCCGGCCCGGGCCCGGCCCGCGGTGCGCGGCCGTCCTCGGCGGGCTGGGAGACGGTATGCGGCGCGGTGCGGTGGCCGCCCTCCGTCTGTGCGCGGCGGCGGACCATGCGCCGCCTGGTGCCCGCTGTTCTCTGCGGTTTTGCCCCCGCGCGTGACCCCCGTCTCCCGCCTCCTCAGCCGGACCTGCTGGAGCCGGGCATGACGGCACGCACCTCCGACTCGGGAATCAGCTCGATCGTGCACCAGCTGAGCGAGGAGGCCGAGCCGCGGCCGACCGGCGGCGGCCGCGCCGACTCCTGCCTCGGCCTCAGCGACAGCGGCAGCCTGGCCGACTTGCCGGCCGCCGCGGCGGCCGCGGCCGGACTCGACGCCTGCCTCGAGATGCACCTGCTCTACTGCCTCCACCTGCTCGACGTAGGCCAGGGACAGGACAGGGGCCTGGTGATGATGGCTGCCGGGGTGGTGGTAGGGGAGAGGGGTGCCTGCAGACCGGCTGCTGCTGGGCGGGACGTGGAGCGTGGAAGGGTAGCGTATAGAAGGGCCCACTCTCTTCTACGCGGCTGGAGGGCAGGCGGCGTGGGAGTGAGGCCCCCGCGCCGTTGACGCCGAGTGCTGGAAGCGGTCGCAGTGGCTGCTACAGCAGCCGGGGTGCAGCAGGAGAGCCTGCATGCGGACACCGCGCAGCCACCGTCCGGCTGACGGGCAACTGCTATTGTGTGAATGGACAAGTCGCATTGTCACACGTTAACTGGTGTGAAACGTTACCATGACGTGTGCGCGTCGTAAGTGCCTGGTTTGTTATAGTTGTCAGCCCTGGACATGCGAATCCTGTGCATCGAGACCAAGTTTGGCTCGCTGCTAGCGTCAGGCGGTATGTCACGAGGTGGGACGCGAGGCCCGACAGGTGGCCTCGCGACCGTCTCTGGTCTGGCGGGCCCTGGCGGCGGGCGGCGGGCGCTGACCGCGACCTCTGCCGTCAGGGCACGACCCCGGCCGGACCGCTGCGGCACCGGGCCGACAGCTGCCGGCAGAAGCTGGGCCGCCAGACCGTGCTGCTGGAGCTGATGCTGCAGAGCCCGCCGCCTGATGACGTCATCACGGACGCACAGATTCAGGTGGGCGGCGGGGCGCCGGCTGCGGTGCCGACGGCTGGTGCGGGCCAGTGGCCCGTCGGGGGTCGTGCGGCGCCCGCTGTGGTTGTGTGTTGTGTGGGCCGACGTTCGCGCTGTCGGGCTCTGCGACGGCTGGGAAGAGACGTGTTGTGGTGTGACAGCAGACAGTGTTGGCGTCTTATTCCTGACTGGTGCCCATCGTGCTAGCCGAGGTGAGAGTAACGACAACCTGACTGACCTGTCCACGGCAAATCCGGACGGCACGCCGTGCCTACCCCTGAGTCGGGTGGGCGTTGAAGCCGGCGGCTGGGTTCACCCGCGCATGCGCACTGTCAGTGCAGTCTGCAGACACGTCACCAGCTCAGCCCGACCCGCGTCAGCGTCGGCCCGCACCGCCGCCTGCGCCGCCGCCGCCTCTGTGCCTGCCGAGCGGGAGCGTGTCGTGGTCAGCGGCTCCGCCCGCCGCCGGCAGGGCGTCTGGCGGGAGCTGTGCGACGGCCCGGCGCTGTACCACGTGCCGGCGACGGCCGCCTGCGAGCGGCTAACGGCGCTGCTGCGGCCCCGGCTCGAGTACAGGGACGCCCACATCGCCGGCAAAGGTGGGCGTCCGCCGGGTGTGGTCGGGCGGAGTCGAGTGTGCGGGATGCTCGTCACTGGCGAATGCGCCTTCGTTTGTCGCCACCAGCCGAGGTCTGACATGCTGCGGACGGGCGTTGAGGTGTAGAAGGCGCACACACTAGTGTGCGTCGCACACTGCCGAGCCAACCGTACCACGCAGAGGCATGCCCTGCCATCGGTTGGCAGTGCGTTATGCCTCGAATCCAGAAGCCGGAGACAGTCACAGGCAGTCCCCGTCGTGTCGCGGCAGCAAAGAGTGCGTTGATGGCCGTGGTGTGGGGCGTGCGGCCGACCGCCGGGTGTGCCGTGTGCGGCAGTGTCCCGTCTGGTGGTCAGCCGATGTCTGGACCTGGCCGAGGTCGCCGCCGACCACCAGCTCACCGTGTTCGCGCTGCGGGACTACACGGCCGACACCAGCCTGGACCGGGTGGTCGAGGACCTGGCCGAGGAGGGTGAGTGGCCGCCGTCGTGTAGTCTTCCGCGCCGGCTGTGCGGACACGACCGGCGCAGGAGTCGCGTGCTGCCGCGTTACGGGTCACCGCCCCACTCCGCCCCGAGTCACCGCCCGACCTCGCCCCACCTCACCCCGGGTCACCGCCCGGCCTCGCCCCACCTCACCCCGGGTCACCGCCCGACCTCGCCCCAACTTATCCCGGGTCACCGCCCGACCTCGCCCCACCTCACCCCGGGTCACCGCCCGACCCCGCCCCGCCCCGCCCCGCCCCGCCCCGCCCCGCCCCGCCTCAGCAGGCCCCGACCTGACTGACGTACGTGCGGCGGTGCCCCGTCGCCAGCTCCAGCGCCGTCCTCTCCCCAGCCAGTCGTTCAGCGAGCTGATCAGCTGACAGCGCGCGCGAGCCTGACCGACTTGTTTGCGTGGTGACCTCCGTTACCGGCGGCGGCGATTCGTGCGGCCCTGCCATCGTCGCTGACTAAAATATGCATCTGGCGGGGATCGAACCGCGTCCCTTTCGATCGGCAACCCGCCGCGCCGCCGTGGCCGGCCCGTACCGTGCCGCCGCTCTTTGCCGAGTGTTCGGTATTCATTGTGTCGGCACGGCATCGCGTGCCGCCGGCGGGCGGTGGTGTGCGCCTGGGCGGGTACGCCACCGCCGGGACGGCTCACGCACGCGGCCGTCTGTCATGCGCCGCTCCCCGCTCGAGCCAGCCGCTTCACCAGTGGCTGGCGAGTGCCGCTACTGTTGCGTTCGCCGGCTTGCTGTGCGCTACCTTGAGATGTTTTGCGCTGTCCAAAAACTCCCCACGACTAGCGGGGTGTTACAACTTGAGACCGATTGTCCACTAGGCGTGTGTCATTGGGGTGTGCAGTGTTGGGACGGACTCAAGTTCGTACGGAAACTGACAGCAGTTGTCGGGTAGTGTCAGCCTGCCTGACACGGATAACCTTTCCCTGGGATGACACGCCAGTCCAGGCTTCGAACAGTGTAACTTTTGGCCGGCTAAACGCCCGGATGCAGCAGCGCCCATTTAATCGGAATATGACACTTCCGCCGTCAACAATTCCCTTATTGTATACCCAAACCGGTGCGTGCGAATCCTGGGGACACTTTGTGTTTTAGAGGACAGTGAAGATCAGCTCCGAGGGTATGGCGCTGACAGCCCCCGTTGGGCGCCATGCTGCAATACGTTACAGATCGGTTTGCCGTCAGTCAGGGCGCCGTGACCTCAGTGACCTGGGCGCCCCGCCAGTGGCCCGTCCTGTTACCGGCAGGCCGGCTGTCCTTGGCTGTTGTTGCGACGCGGCCTGCCTGTTGTGCGATGCAGGTCGACCCCCCCCCCCCCCCCACCACCACCACCACCACGTCTGCCGCCGCGCTGGGCGGTGTGTCTGTGTCTCCGAGGTGCTGGCCGGGCCGCGTCCGCCGCCGACCGGCCTGGCCGTCGCGCTGAGCGTGGCGGCTGTGTCACGCCGCCACGAGCTCGCGACGAGTGACGCTGGTCGGCGCGCTCTGCGTCTCGCTGACATGCCGTTCTCTCTCTCTCTCTCTGCCTCTGTCTCGGGCCGGCTGCAGTCCAGCTGACAGACGCGCTGCTGTCGCACAACGCCGAGTCGATCGGCCGCCGGCTGGCGCAGCTGGTGTACATGTTCCCGCCGCGACCGTGCCTGCGCGTCGTCTGCCAGCTGCTGGCGTCGGCCGGGCCGCGCGTCGCCGACACGGTGCGCGCCTGGCTGCGCGATGTCAGCAGGACCGACTGCATGCTGGAGCAGGTGAGGGAGGCGAGGGAGACCGACTGCAGGCTGGAGCATGTGAGGGAGACGAGGAGGATCACCTGGCTGCGAGAGGTTAGCAGCACCGACAGCATGCTGGAGCAGGTGAGGGAGGCGAGGGGATCACCTGGCTGCGCGATGTCAGCAGGACCGGCTGCATGCTAGAGCAGTTGAGGGAGGCGAGGAGGATCGCCTGGATGCGAGAGGTTAGCAGCACCGACAGCATGCTGGAGCAGGTGAGGGACGCGAGGGAGACCGCTCCGGACAGCTGCAGGACTGGCTGGAGCAAGCGAGCAATGTGCGGGTGGGGGAAGGGGGGGGGGGAGAGGATGGGGGAGCTGTGGGTAACACCGCGAGATCTCCGGCCCACATCCCCGTGCAGTCGTTTTCGGCGAGTTCTAGGCGGGTGTCGACTGGTGTAACCCCGCGCGCCGCGAGTGGGGAAGCCGACCTGTTGAGCGCGCGCGTCTCGTGATGGGAGCGTCGCTGCTGCCCCGCCCCGCGTGCTGTTTTGGGGGAGCTAACGAGCCTGTTTGTACCTCTGTCTGGCAGTTGTTTGGGTGTGGTATGCGAGTGATGGGCGCATTAACACGCGTTCGTGACCCTGCACGGGAGATTGAGAGTGTGTGCAGTTGGTGAGCCGGGCGGATGTCTGCCCGAGGATGGGACTCGTCAGTCATATTGCTGGATTGTTTGTGGTCCCGCTGCATTGCGCGCAACTTTGACAACTGGTGGTTTGTAAGTGCCTGGCCATCTGCCATATGCGGGCATGCAGTAGACCACGTCTTGTGTTATCATTGTTGGGGCACCGGAACACGTCCGCCTGTGCGACATAAAACAGTGCACAGTGATTGCACCATTATCGGGGTCGTCAAGACCATGCGGCGCCCGGCGTGTCAGAGCTGGGGCTTCGGTTTGTTTGTATGCCAGCCGCCGGTGAGAGGCGTCCGTGTATGGCCTCGCCGCCTCCGCCTGCGGGAGAACTCTGACACCCTGGGCCTGGCGTGACAACAGTGTGGTCCGGCTCTCCGGAGTCCGGGGCGTGCGGTGGCCGGTGCAGCTCGACCGGGGGAGGGGTCCGCCGCGGGCGCGGGGTGTTCTCGGCGTCCCCGCCGCTGGGGCCGGGCGTGCCGGACGCCGGCCTTGAGAGCGGCGCGACGGGCGAGTGTCGGGGCTGGGCACACGCGGGGCGGGGCGGGGCGGGGCGGGACGGGACGGGAACAGGGGCGCGAGCGCGAGCAGCCGTACGGGGCCGGCCCGGCGTCGGGACGCGTCGGCGCCGACCCGGCCGCTGAAGACCGCTCGGCCTGGCGGCTGGTGACGCGCGCTTGTGCGCCGTGACGACTCCTGTATTTGCGGCGTGGGATGCAGACACTGTTGTTTGCTGTGAGCCGCCCCCCGTGAGCCGGCGACCACGGGTGCTTGGGGTCGAGCTCGTATCGATGACAGGTCAGATCGTGCCCGCCTCGGTTATTACCCAATTTGCATTCCAAATTTACCATTGCTTTTTCAGCAGCTGTTGCTCACGGTGTGCGATGCAGCGATACTTGCAGAGGATGGTGCCTTCTTGTGTCGTATAGTTCGCGACGGCCCTTGCAGCTATGCACCCCTCAGGGTCGAAGAACTGCGCATCAACAGTGGCAAACAACCGATGAAATCTGGCATGCATGAATCTCATGATAGTAGTAATGATTGGGGCCTCACCTTTCACTGACTGCCAGAGCCGTTTCAAGACCGGCTCCTTTGTTAGGTTATCGTGTCGGATACGGTAGTGGCGTGGCAGGTGCCCGAACTAGAGACCCACAGGTCCAGAACGGAGTGCCCTAGCCACCTTGTCACCACGGCCCCCGTGCGGGGACCTGATGTGCTCCAGTCCCCACAACGGGGGCACGTCTGTCAGGGCGGCAGCGGTGCCGGATGCGCTCACGTGATCGGTGCGCGCGGAGGCGTACCACCGCGCCCATTGTGTCAGCTTCCGGTGTTTGCCGTGTTTCGGGATTCCATCTGTGGTGATGCGTTGTTATGTCTCCGCGCAGCGCGCTTCGTATCGTTACCTATGCACTTCGAAGCCCACTTCGTATCGTTACCTATACACTTCGAAGCCCACTTCGTATCATTACCTTTTCACTCCGAAGCCCACTTCGTATCGTTACCTATCCACTTCGAAGCCCACTTCGTATCATTACCTTTTCACTTCGAAGCCCACTTCGTATCGTTGGCTATCCACTTTGAAGCGCATTTCGTATCGTTACCTATCCACTTCGAAGCCCATTTCGTATCGTTGCCTATCCATTTCGAAGCCCATTTCGTATCGTTACCTATCCACTTCGAAGACCACCTCGCGTCGTTGCCCATCCACTTCGAAGCCCACTTCGTATCGTTGCCTAACCGCTTCGAAACCCACTTCGTATCGTTGCCTATCCGCTTCGAAGCCCACTTCGTATCGTTACCTATCCACTTCGAAACCCACTTCGTACCGTTGCCTATCCACTTCGAAACCCACTTCGTATTGTTACCTATCCACTTCGAAGCCCACTTCGTATCGTTGCCTATCCGCGTCGAAGCCCACCTCGTATCGTTGCCTACCGCCGCATGCGACCAGTTCTCGGTAGCAGCTCCAGAGCTGGGGAGGGTGAATGGCAGACGTCGTGGCGCCCATCCTCAGCAGAAAAGAAATCACACTGACAGCCGGATTCGAACCCACGACCTCACCGAGCCTGCAATGCCGATTGGGCCACCTCAACACGCAAAAAAAAGTTATTCGTGGGCGTGCTTGTGTATGCAAATTTCAGTCCATGTTGTGAATATTCAGGGGGCAGATGCAGTAAGTTAATGTTTTTTTAATGCCGATTTCGCATGCCTTACAGCCATATGCCGTTGTGTGGACATCTTGCTCTTTTAAGGACGAGGCTATTTACATTTGTCTTTACTTGAAATGTGCTGACACATGTTGCGGCCCAACGCATGAATAGCTGTTGCGTTGCTGTGTGATGGTGGGAAGTGGGTGCAGTTTCTGTATTTTCCCCTGCGCAGCTGGTTGCACCTCTTTGGTAGTAAGATCAGCGAGTTGTATATCGGGTGGCGGGGGAGCCTGCAGTCTTACCCCCAGCTGTTGGAGAGTGGCGTCCATATCCCGCTTACGGGGGTAAACCGCGTGACCGGTTTACGCGGTTTACACGTGACCGGTTTACGCGGTTTACACGTGACCGGTTTACGCGGTTTACACGTGACCGGTTTACGCGGTTTACACGTGACCGGTTTACGCGGTTTACACGTGACCGGTTTACGCGGTTTACACGTGACCGGTCTACGCGGTCACCGGCTCTGACGGCCGTCACAGGCCAGGTCGGCCGCCACCGTGGCGGGTCGACTGTGCAGGGTCGGGTCAGCCGTCACTGGCAGCGGCTGGGTTCGGCGCTAAAAAAGTTATACGCGCACGCGACCTCACCGAGCTTGCAATGCCGATTGGGTCACCTCACCATGCAAAAAAAAGTTATTCGCGGGCGTGCTTGTATGTGCAAATTTCAGTCGCACGCACGCACGTGGCCGTGGCCATGGCCGTGCGTGCGCATGGCCGTGGCCGTGCGTGCGCCATCGCGTTCTGTGCTTCTCATCAGTTACAATGGGGTTGGCTTTGTGTCGGTCTGTTTTTGTGCGTACCTGTTTGTATTTGCGTCGTTCCTTTGTCCGGTCGTCCGAGTGCATGTACGAGAGGCACAAGGGCCGAGTGGTTAGCGCATCGGGTTTCCACGAGGAGGGCTCGGGCTCGAGCCTCCGAGTCTGATGCTAGTCCCTGAGCGCTGATATCGCCTCTGCAGTCGCTGGCGTTCCATAAACGGTGCGTGACGACGCAGGTCGCGCTGCCTTGGAAAATCCATGTATGAACTTATTTATTGCGTACGTGTTTGTTTGTATTGTAGACGTCATATGTGCACCATGTACATCATTTTGCCAAATGCGTCATGTATTCAGTTTTTAACGAGTACGTTTTTCCTAGTAACTTGTGCGCACGGATGTCCTTCCGTCGCCTCGCCCGTCTGTCTGTCGGTGCTGATGTTACCTTCTGCCGGCCAGTTGGTGCCCGCCTTCCTCGAGCTGCTGGAGTCGGAGGCGGCTTCGGAGCGCGAGGGTGCCGTGCGCGCGCTGCAGCAGCTGGGCGCGCCGCCGCTGGCGCCGCTGCGCCACCTCGTCTCAGCCGACGCCGACGACCGCGTGCGAGCCGCTGCCGAGGGCGCGCTGGCCGAGCTGGGCGGCGAGGGCCGGGCCGCGCTGCACCAGGTGAGCGGCGCCCCCGGCGGCCGACGGCGCGGGGCTCGGCTCGGCTCGGCTCGGCTCGGCTCGGCCGCCGCCGCCACCGAACGCTGTTTATAGCGGCCAGTGCATCCTGCTGAGCGCTGTGGACGCCGCCGCTCGGCTTGCATTGGACGGTAACCCCGTGCCGGCGGCGTCCGATGCCTGCTCGATACGGCGGGCGTGATTTGTGGGCTGTCTGGTGCTGGGGGCACCGGCTCCGTGGATGTGGGGGGCTTCCAAATGAGATGTAGTCGGCCAGTCTGCAGATGGCTGCTGTCAGGGCCCGACTCTGTCGCTACTTGCGGAAGGGCATTAGCATGTGATGGGCGATCTGAGCGAGCCGGTCGGCCGCTGCCCGCGTCGGCCCAGTCCGCCAGACTAATGTGCCTGGTTCCACACGTTCTCACGCATACAGCTGACCCGAGCGACGACGTCTCAGCACTAAGCCAGCCTCGTTTGCAGGCGAAGCGGGCGCGCGCCGGTGGGCAGCCGGCCGCTGGCGCACTGCCGCCCTGACGCCGGCCTCCGGACCGCGACAGCGCCGCCCGGCCGCGGCGTCCGCCCCACCGTGGCTTTCAGTCGAACGCGACCACATCGAACGGCGCGCCGCGGCGCCGTGCTGCCCTGGGCCGCCCGCGGGCCGCCCCCGTTGTTGTCCGCCGCCGCCCGTTGTTATACTCAAGTCAGTATTTTGCTGCACGGCGAGGCCGCCCGACTCTTGTAGCGCTTTAGCGCGAGGCCCGCCACCGGCTCCGGCTCCGTGTAGCCTGGGGCGACGAAGCGCCGCCCGCTGACGCTGTGCATTCACTAAACCGACACCCAAGTGCCGACCCCGGCCCCGGCCCCCGGCCCCGGCCCTGTCGCCTGCGTTCCCACCGCGAACACGATCAGATAGCTGAGCATGGAAATCGAGGCTGTTCTCTGGGCGCCGATCTGGCCGGCTACCGTCGGCGCGGACGCGCGGTGCTCTGAACACGGGTATGGGCGTCGAATAATACTTTGGATCTGAATCGTGTGAAGAGGCTGACTGACTCGCGACACTAACAGTGCGGCTGCGCTCCTCAAGAAATACACTATATATGCGATGTACACCTCACGTGTATTCATCGATTGACGTGGCACTAAGCGCCTCGGTCAGCGAAAAGCATGCTGGGATGAATGGGGCCGAACGCATTGTGCTGGTTAAAAAGCTAAGTGCCTAGAGCTAGTGTACACGTTTCATTGTATGTAAGGCACTCCCTGGTGCAACAAGGAGCCTGTGTGGGGCAAGTGCATATAACCTACATATCGTTCGTTACTGGGTGCCGAAACGTGCCGATGGCCAAAGCCTGGTACACATCTAGCGTCGTTCCCATGTGTGTGCACATCACGTTCAAACAGACCCTTGCGGCGCGGCTCGCCGACGGCGGGCCGCCGCCGCGACATCTCGAACACAGTGATGGGCGCCAGCGAGCTAACGTGGACGCCCTGCTCACACGGCTGGAAGAGGTGAGGCCAGTGACGGGGAGGGGGAGGGGGGGAGGCTCACACGGCTGCCGGAGGTGACGGAAGGAGAGGGGGGCTCACACGACTGGCAGAGGTGACGGAGGGGAGAAGAGGCTCACACGGCCGGCAGAGGTGACGGGGTGGAGGGGAGGGGAGGCTCACACGGCTGACAGATGTGACGGAGGGAGAGGGGGCTCACGCGACTGGCAGAGGTGACGGAGGGGAGAAGAGGCTCACACGGCCGGCAGAGGTGACGGGGTGGAGGGGAGGGGAGGCTCACACGGCTGACAGATGTGACGGAGGGAGAGGGGGCTCACGCGACTGGCAGAGGTGACGGAGGGGAGAAGAGGCTCACACGGCCGGCAGAGGTGACGGGGTGGAGGGGAGGGGAGGCTCACCACGGCTGACAGATGTGACGGAGGGAGAGGGGGCTCACGCGACTGGCAGAGGTGACGGAGGGGAGAAGAGGCTCACACGGCCGGCAGAGGTGACGGGGTGGAGGGGAGGGGAGGCTCACACGGCTGACAGATGTGACGGAGGGAGAGGGGGCTCACGCGACTGGCAGAGGTGACGGAGGGAGAGGGGGGGCCCACACGACTGGCAGAGGTGATGGAGGGGAGGCTCACGCGACTGGCAGAGGTGACGAAGGGAGAGGGGGGCCCACACGACTGGCAGAGGTGATGGAGGGGAGGCTCACACGACTGGCAGAGGGTGACGGAGGGAGAGGGGGGCTCACACGACTGGCAGAGGTGACGGAGAGGAGAAGAGGCTCACACGGCCGGCAGAGGTGATGGGGTGGAGGGGAGGGGAGGCTCACACGGCTGACAGATGTGACGGAGGGAGAGGGGGGCCCACACGATTGGCAGAGGTGATGGAGGGGAGGCTGACACGGCTGGCAGAGGTGACGGAGGGGGAGGCCCACACGGCTGGCAGAGGTGACGGAGGGGTAGGCTCACACGGGTGACAGAGAGAGGGGGAGGGGTGCGTCCGACCAGACGATGTGGTGCAAGGCGCAGAGTCCACCGAAGAACTGAACGGAGGACCCAGCCTCTCAGTGTCGGGGGGCCGCCCGAGCTGGCCGGCGGCGGGCGGCTCGGACGCTGCCGCGGCAAGCTGTTAGTCTTCTACGGGACTCACCACGTGGATTTTGCGGATTCCGGCAGCTTGAAAAAAGACGGACATGGCTGTAGTCATGTCCTGGTATGATCGCTGTTTTCGGTTCAAGAGTGCATGGACAAACGACTTAGGAGTATGGCAAGGCGTCAAACGTGAATCAACGAGGACGCGTCCATCGTATGAGCGCCGTCATGAAATGCGCTCTCTTGTCGCTTTTCTCCGAACGCATAACAATACTCAGCTGCGTGATTGCTTGAAACCGCAATGTCCCAGACTCATGTCAGGTGCTCTTCCGAAGGGATCGATTTGTGCTCGACAGAGGAATCAGCTCTGTAGCAAACGACGATTTTGTCAAGTCAGGGTGAATCAAGTGCTTTGAATTTGGGAGGTGAATCCAAGTTAAATCAACCAATTCCTCAGTACGTCAACCCAAATGGAAATCAAGACAAAAGGCTATATTCGCAGTCTCACAGCTTATATGTGAGCATAATTAAGCATAGTCATAAAATTCGTTGTAATTGTATATACAAAAACATTTCACATTTTTAATGACAATGCTTTTATCGATGGCATGGTATGAGGGATCTCTTAAGCTAATGCCAATGGAGTTGATTGCATTGGAATCGATGCGGGAATTGAGCCATACTTCCTCGAGTTGGGTCCACTCACTAGCCTCACTAAACTCGAGTCAGGTCCACCCACTGGCTCCACTCCACTTGAGTCGACTGCAAATGGCCTATGCTGGTTGGAATCATAGCCAGAACCCGCTCCACGTGTCTTGAGATGGGATCGGAATCACCTCCGTCGGAGCGGAATCAAGCACGATCGGAGTGGAATCAAGCACAAATCCGCCATCCAGCCCGCGCCGTTTTTGAAAATCCGATCTGGTACAAGCTGTCCTTACTCAAATGCTCCCAATGGCTTCTCTTCCCCACTGGCTTAATTGACATTCCGTTCTCTACGAATTTATAAGAAACGAACTTGCCCCGTACGCTCACAAATCGCCAAACTGAGGACGACGGTCATGTAGATACTTCTCACGGTCAACTCGCCAGCTGGCCAAACATCACGCCGCCAAAAACGCTTTATGAAAATGAACTTGGCCATACGTTTGCATTGCTATATTAGTAACGACGGCATCATTAAAATATTCTTAGTGACAGCAGTCGTAACTGGCATGTTTAAGACGCACATCACTACAGCGCGTGACAAATTCATGATACACACTCCGATGAGCGTTTGTACGGCGGAGGGATCATGGCACGCTTCATTCACCTTGCTTGGCGTCTCCCGCTGGCACACGGGCGCCAGAGATAAGATCACGTGTTATCCCATTTTGTACGTAGCCTATCATGGATCCAGTCGGGGAGGTCGGGTGAAGGAGGGGAGGACAGCGACAAGGATAAGGGACGAGACTTCTCAAGAAAGGCGAAAGCACAAGTGCATCGAAACACTATCCAAAGCTTGCATCTCTGTTAACCTTGGCTGGCCCTTAGTATTCTTTTCTTATCGGTCAATGCGATGGTGAGGACAGAGTGGGGGATTACAATATCAGCCTCGCACTGGCACAAGCATGGCTGGGACACAGTTACGATACAAGCGCGTTACTTCACCCCATATTAATCAGACGAATGCTTTTGCTGTTAACATTATGCTCAGAACCGCTGTGCCATCTTCGTCGAGGCGTAGCAGTAGCAGTAGAGGTAAATGGGACTTCGAGCGCTCGAGCTGTACGGTCAAAGTGCCCGCGAAGTGTAGTATAAAAACTTACACGCCCGTAGAAAGTAAGTTAAGTGTCCGGAAACCAACATCTAAAACAAGTAGAGATAGACACCTCCGTCGGCCAACCCTGGGCATGATGCATATCTAACATGCTCATGCACGGCCGTAGAACCTCTCCCCTGAGCCCGCCGCACGCGCACCAGATCCGTGTGACCCACAGCTGCTGGGAGACGCGTGGTCCGCTGCGCGCTTAAGGCGATGTGGCTGCCTCCCAGGCGGCACGACAGGGGCGGATGTGAGCATTATTGGTTAGATCATCTCACCAGGTGTCCCGGGACGAGCGCAGGCGGTCGGCGCTCACATTACTTACCCAGGCGGGACGAGAGGCACACGGGCGCGTTATTCATCGCACTGTGCTGCCAGGCGTCGCAAGGGAGCACGTGTGCGCGTCGACGGTAGGCTACCATCCCGGGTCACATTGGACTGGGAGGAGAGCGGCAGAGCTTCTGCTACGATTGCCAGCCTCCGCACGGAACTAGGTGCATGTGCCTTCCGTCTGGCGCAGCTAGGGGTGAAGTATGCGTGCCCCGGTAGCCGCCGCGGGGATCAGAAATGCGTGCCTCCGATCAGACGCCACAAGGGATCAAGCACCGCGTGCCCCGGTCGGGTGACCCCGGACGTGGGCGGCTCAGATGTGCGTATCTGCTCGTGGTGTTACCGGGCTCGGCCGGCTCTGGAGGCGGCTCGTCGTGCACGACGAAGTAGCGCCGGTCGCTGAACAGGTCGCCCGTCTCCACGCCGCTCCCAGAAAACGCAGCTTCAGCAGCAGGCCTGGAGGCACGAGGACACATGTGAACTGCGCTGCTATGTGCATGGCGTCTTTCAAGTCACTTAGCCGGGTGAACTCCGTCCGTATTATCGGCCTGCTCGGACGGCGGCGGCAGTGGCGGCACCAGTGGAAAACCGCCCCGCCTCGATAGCTGCGTAGCGGTGCATCTTCGTCCCTGTTCAAAAGGCCTGGCTCTGATTTCCCCGCTGCAAGGAACTTTCGCCGGACACTGAGCTTTTCTCAAGTGTCTGGCGAAGCCGACAGCAGCAGCAGTTCAGTGCATCGCAAGATAACCCGGCAGCTGCTAGAAAAGGCCCGGCTGTGTGCAGCGCTCACCCGTCAGCAGACCAGTGACCACGGAGATGACCAGCGTGATGATCAGCGCCAGCATTTGCATGCCGCCCTGGACGGAGGCCGAGCGGCCGGCGACCGGCGTCTCCCTCGGCCAGCGCCGTCTCCGCGCGCGCCCGGGAAGATCACGAACAGACTGCGGACGAGGCCGACAGCGGTGACCGCCCCGGCCGCAGCGTGGTTACCGGCGACGGCACCCCCGTCCAGCGGGCCGTCTCGGGGCCGGCGCCACGGCGCTGCCGTCACGTACGACCGCCCGTGACGTGTTTTGCCCTGTCTTGTTAGTTTCCTCGCGGTGGGAACAGTGAAATTGTTTGAAGACGTATCCCAGCGCCGCACGTGGTGCGGTGAGATACACCAGGCCGCTTTGCGGCCTTGCGCCACTTCGGCCGCCGTGCGGCCATTTAATATACACGACAGACGTGAGAAGAACGGTGCCAATTTCAGCTGCAGCATCCCGCGCCGGTGAGTTGCAACGCAGCAGCGCTGTGTTGCGAGTGTCTCGCGAAGAAGCATAGACTTGGCAGTAACGGATGGGGCAGCGGGTCGACACGATCCCTCATCGTTAGCAAGTCACTACAGTAACGACGTCATGAATGGCGCACGTGCACGATCGCATGAGGAAACGCGTCCGTATCTGTCGGTCGCCGGTGTTACCATCACGGAGTACGTGGGGAGTCTGGCACGCGCACCTGGCTGCCCTGCCGACGCCCGATCCATGTCACGGCGGAAGCCGGCGACCCCCAACACACCTGGCTCCGTACTGCTCCGGAGACGCCATGGCCGCCATGATGGCGCCGACGGTGGAGGCCAGGATCCGGGCATGCCGTGCAGGTTGTGGACGCCGCATGTGTCGTGGATCCGACAGTGCTTGTCGAGCGCCGGCTGCGGACAACAAACAGCACGCGATGACGGACGGCCGGCGCCGAGCAGCAATTTGCCGCCGGCCACGCCCGCCGCTTCGAGACGGGACCGCAGGTCCCGCCTCGAGGAGGGGCCGGGGCAGCTCGAGGCACGGCCGCGCGGGGCGGACACACACTCGGCGCTCCCCAGGGCGACGTGATGGGTCGAGTTGACGGTGTCTGTGTAAGGCCCGCGGCAAACGGAAAACGATAAAAAAAAACGTCACGAGGGCACCGCTAGGTGGTGGATGCAACTGATACATAGAGAGCATAACAGGCAGCATCACCTAACGAAGTGCCTCTCACAGGCGCATTTATAGTAGTGCAATGATGTAGATGCTCGTACGAGAGGCACGTTATGTGAATTTATATTCATGCTGCAACTGGGCGCATTCGGTACTTGCGTACTAATTTTGCCAAGCAATGTTCTGTCATGAATACCGAGCGTCGCATCGCGTTAAGAAAGCTTAACTACACCAAGATACATATACCCACCCCCAGGCTACTGACTGGCCCTAGACACGTATACCTGCCATGGGCCGGAGGAGAGCAGCGCAGCACATGGCAGAAATCCCTGCCTTGAAAGCGGGGCATTTCACGCTTTCCTGCGATGCTGCGGTACCAAACCCTCACGGCTTCCCACCCTTGCCAACTTCAAGACTGGCCCCGTCCCAGCTAACTCCTGAACCGGACAGCCTGGCCTTATTCTTACCCAAGAACCGCCTGAGCTCCGACACACGCAAGTCTTAGCCCCAGACGACACAGTCACATCTAGGAGTCAGCCTGAGCTCCGACACACGCAAATCCTAACCTCAGCCGACACAGTCACATCCGGGAGTCAGCCTGCCTCTCGCCCCATTTACAACACCGCTATGGCCAGCTGAGGCGCCCACTGGACCTAACACCCCTCTGAACAGCCCCGCCACCGCTCTCGCCAGCGTCGGCGCATTTGCCACCAGGCCCGCGCCTCTCGGTCACTCGCCGTGATGAGCTGGAAGCCGACGACGGCGAGGGCGCCGGCGACACTGCCGACCAGCAGGGCGCCGTACGGCTGGACTATCATGTCGGCGGCCGTGCCGATGGCCACGCCCGCCCGCCAGCGTGGCGTTCTGCACGTGCTCCTGCGACACGGACGGGGCACGGGATCACCGCCGGGGTCCGCGGCTCGACTCCAACCCCTAGGAAGCAGGCCGGTCCTGGGTCGGCGGGGCTGAGTGGTGGCCGGTGGACACGGTTTGGGGGTGCGGGAGCAGCTTGTGAAGGTCAGAGGCGAGATCCACGCAGGCCTGCCCGATGGACTTCAAAGAGCGCATGACAGTGAAGTGGCACACGGAGAGCATGCACAGCTGCAAACCGAAGCAAGGATCACGAGGCCATGCTACTATTTAACGCCATCGGACAGTTCACAAACAACTACGTGGCTTTCACCTGCCATTTGCAGGAGAGATGAAGCAGTTTGCCGAAAGAAACGAAAACTGAAGAGGGAATAAAACATATAGCACACGCACGCACGCACGCACGCCTCACGGACGCACGCACGCGCACGCACAAACGCGCACGCACTCACGTACGCACGCGCACGCACACACACACACACACACACCACACACCACACACACACAACACACACACACACACACACACACACACACACACACACCACACACACACACCACACACACATGCCAGCACTAAAAACGACGCTTGAAAAGTATATTGCCAAATACATTCCGTAATGAAGAACTCCACAGTCGTTGTACGGTCGGTTAACAATTCTAGTCGGTCAACAGCGCAGATGAGTAAAAAGGACGATATCACATGAAGAATTTCGATGAAAAGAAGTGTCCCACCTTCGGAACATATTTCAAGAACATACTTTGGAGAAACCTAAGTTTGTTTAAAACCTGAGTAAAACCTAAGTAAGTTTAACCTAAGCTCCGTTTGATTATATGGCTGGGAAGTGACACCGCGGCAAACCGTCAAAACACAGAAAGAATATCAATTTTAATCATTTTCGAGCCTAAATCACGCTGTCAGCGCTTTGGTACAATACATCACCACGCTTCTCTTGCGATCAATCCCTGCGGACGCAACAACCGCTGCCATGACAATCGCCGTGCGCACCTTTACTGGTGCTAATGAAAGAGCGTTTATGATTGGGCCCAGCGGGCAGGGGCCTGCTAGGGCAGTCGAGGAGCGTATAGTTGAAGTTCGAGCTAGGGCGGTTATTTGGATTGCAGTCATACTTCCGTTCATCAATCAGAGTGCGCCTCGAAAAGAACCATTGTGGGAAACGTGACATGGGAGAATTCAAAGCTCTAATCAAAACACTTCGCGAAATTTGCGAGACAACAGCTTCATGCTCGCATATCGTTTTGTCTAAGCAGTGTTTCAAGCTTTCGTAGCACTTATCACTCGGACATTTTGGCGGATAAGTGTGCTGCAAACGGTAATGACTCCCTGCTTCAACAGATCACGTATTGGAGCAGGGAGTCAAATGAGGTTTCTCGCACAGGGTCGGAATTTAGTCGAAGGGTTGAAAATTTTGAATAGCTCAGAATTTCTATTTGTAGTAACAAATAGAAATTCGGCGCTATTCAGAAGAACTGCAGGAAAACTGGCGTTACTGATTAAATCGTGCGCATCTGATGCAAACAATAAGGGAAAAGTATAAAATGGTGGAAAATCCCTTTGAAGGTAAAGTTCCACAACGAAGATATTGAAGCAAGCATCAGATATAACAAAATATTTCCATTATAATTGTTGGTATATTTTTCAGTGGAAAAAGAGTGCTCCAGACGATACATTTTCTCTGTTTATTAAACGTGCTCCTCAGACATAATTGTTTGGTAACGTCATCGTAGCTTGCAAGACATTGATGGAGAGCCAATTGACCGCCGCTATGCCTGGAAAGCGTGTTCACCAACGCCGGATATAAACGACTGGACAATGATGTTTTGATTGGCCTTGATCGCCGCAAGGCTAATCAAATGGCGGGGTTTCAATGACTATTGTTTTTATTGACTTATTGACTTGACTTTATTTAGCGTTCTGAATGCCTGAGTGATCTCGAAATAGTCCGAACATCTTCGCGGGCGTGTAGTTCAGACAAGAGGGATTTGGGTCTTAAGAAGAACAGGGCTGTGTGTACCGAATGATTTTCAAGAAGACTCTTTCCAGTTCAAACCCGACACAAATGTGGGACTCTCCCTTAAAGGGTTGTAGTGTAGTTTCCTTAAAGGGGTGCCGGCAGTGTGTTAACCACGGCGTGTCTGAGAAGCCGAAGGTACGGGGTTCGATTCCCCGCGGCGCCCGCCCTTCCTGCCAGGGCGAGAGGCAGGCGACCGCCATATAGCCCTAGCAGTTGAGTGCGTCGTAAAGGCCCCAATGACGTGGCGCGACGTAGTTCCTTCAGAGTCTTGAAAGATCCACGCCCGAAACAGCTGCCTCTGTCGTAGAAGGAATCTTTCACAAATGAGGCGAACCTCCATTACACATCACTCTGCGGCGAATGTGATGCGCGTGGAGAGTGAGTGTGTGCCTGTTTACGCATGACGCATGAATGCATTACGCCGTTGTATACATTGCGGGACAGTAGCACCCATGCCAGTAGAGAGGTCGGTGCAAAAGCGAAAAGCAGGGCAGGTCTCGTTTGGTGGAGCTCTTGCAGAGATTTGGAGCTGTTTTGCTGACACAAAAACGAATCGGCAGCAAGGACGCCCCAGGGAACAGTCATAACCTGAGCTAACAGAGCAGCGTGCACCGAAAAAGTACAGAATGAAGGGGGAAGCTGGGCCAGGACGGCCTACTTCAAGTTCCCCGTCAAGCGGTGAAGTCTTACACTGGCGACATCCCCAGCAATCTGGCAGCATATTAATTGCGTTTCGACTAAGGTGACAGGAGGGCCCGACCCAGCCAGCGTGTTACCGCTCCGCAGCGTTTGATAAATGAATGGCTCGTCGGGAATGAATATTTGAAAGTGAGTTAAGTTAAAGTTTTTGGTTGGTTGAATTTCTTAGACCAAAACCCACGTTCAGCAATGGCTACCTCCTCAAAAGCACCGCAATACAACACAAGTCAGAAGACAGTGAGGAAATTGTTGCGGCTATGATATCATCGCAATACACGGTGAGCGATAATTCACGATCCAACTAATATACTGGGTGTATTACTGTATTTTCTGATCCTGATTGTCGTCCGAAAACTTTCAGCAATGCTTTCTCATCGCACTATGAGAGTGGCATCCCAGCTCTCAAACCCCATGCCCGCTCCTACAAAAATATACGCCACCGCTGGCAAGGATCTTCAAACTGCATGGAGCGATTTACAACATACAACTCGTTAAGTTTGCTCCAGAACTTGACGAATTTAGAGACGACCCGTGTTTCTGCCGGGCCGAGCCAGAAGTTTACTGAAGACTTACCATTCGTCATTGCTGGCTTGTACGATAGAATAAGGCTGTCAAAATCAGGTGCTGATAATGATTTTCCAAATCAGACTAGTTACCAAGCATGCTCAGCGTTGAGACCTGGTCGTTCTATTAAGCGATGGAGCTGGTGTTCAAGCCGACAGAATAACTGGCTTGACCAGTCCTTTTGGGATACAGGTACTGAAAAATATACTGTAGGAACGTGTTCTGATAAAACATTATCACCACAACTGCAACGTGAGAATAAAACACAGACTTAAATACCTTGCACTCAATGAAAACCGAATGCAAATCTATGCACAAGCCTCTGACATCAACTGCAATCGGAATTTTGCAGCCTTGCAATCCAATCACCTCTGCCTCTGCCGCCTATGCATGAACATTAAAGCTTTCGAGGGTGCTTCATTACAACCAAGTTGAAGTACACGGTATGTGCCGTTTGCATATTGCTCAGGGATTGTCGTTCACTCCCAGCACCTCTTGGCAAATGTCTGTGTATTTCATCTGCCGGCGCTAAGTAAAGGCCCGGCTACAGGCCAGTAACACCTCCTCAAGTGACCATCAGCACCGCGTGAACCGGGCCCTTCTGAAGCAGCCGGTAGCAAG